CATGACCAAGGCAGCCCCTCAGCCCTGGGACAGAATTTACCAGGAACACTGGTTCAGCACCCTCATGTGAAACCAATCTTTAGTGCTGAGAGCAAACACCAGCCCTCTCAGCGAGGCCGAGGGATGCCAGTCTGCGCACGTGCCTCTCTCTTCCCTTTCTTTCTTCTCCCCGCCCCTTGCCCATCTCCTCTCTCTTACCTCCCCTAAAGGTGAAGAGATAGGAAAATCTACTTCCCTCCTGTCTTGGCAGAGGTGGGGGACTATGAGTGTGTAATATTGCATGTACTGCCAAACACGGTTGAAATTATTTGTTTTATTGAACTGATTTTTTTCTCTCTTTCTTTTTTATGTTACAAGGGAATTCTTACGGCAGGCGGCTGGGGCAGGGGTAGCAGGAAGGTTTGGAAAGGAAGGTGATGTAAAAACAAAAGACATCACTGATTTAAAAAAAAAAAGATGGGAAGAAAGATACCCAAAGACTACATGATGTAAGTGGAAAGAGCAACCCCGCCCCCCTCCCCACATTCAAATCCAAAGTGAATGTAGCAAAATTTTAAGATCAAGTAATTACGATAAAAGCATTCATACGCTGAAAGCGCCTACCCCACTGCTATCACAGTGACCCTTCTGGTACCAGCCGGAGGACAGAGGGAGAGGCAGGAAACTGGGTAGACCAATCTGTCACGGGGGTGGGAAACCTGGCTAGGATCTGGGCCAGGGGCCTGGGCCATAGTTTTTGTTTTATCATTTTGAAAGTTTCTTTTTCTAGTGAAAGCAAGTCTGATTTCAAACTTACACATTTTTCAAGACTTCAAAGTGCTGGGGGGGGGGGGAAGGGGGGGCAGGGCACAGAAGGAGGAAGACTGTTAGATGTCACCACCATGACCCTTTAGTGACCCGCCAGCAGCATGAACACCTAGCTAGCTGCACAGGACACTGACCCTACCACCTGAGCAGTCTGTTACCTTGCGGGAGGCAAAGACAGCCATCAGCAGCCGGCCCTAGATTGCCTCTCTAGATTCATAAATTAGTTATCTGATACAAGAAACAAGCTGGATCCCAAGAAAAGGCATCAGAAACATTGCTCCAAGGCCCCTTCCAGGGCTAAATGTCAGCAGTTGTCTTTGTGGGAAGGCTGGGTCTCAGGAAGGTCTATGCCTGCTTCTAGGGCAAGAGTTCCAGAAGAGACCCGGCTTCATCCAAAAGCCATGGGGGAGGGGGAGGGGGAGGGAGAGGTATAGTCCTTCACTGAGGGCCGCAAAGGAGGTCCTCCTCCTGCCGGGTCTACAGAGACCTACTGAGTCCTACCTGAAGCTCACAGCCAAACACTCTGGCTACACTACTCCTGGTATGATTTGATATAACTATTAAGATGAAAAACTCTTGCTGAAAGAACACCACTAGGCTCTTCTGGGGTCTCTCTGGGTTCTCCCCAGCATGCCACCACCCACTGAACTCGCCTGACAACACATTCTATGGCGCCCTGTATGGAATCTCTCTTTAAGGCCATCGAAGTCTCCAGCTGTCGACCCTGGAGGGAGCTTTGTGAGAAAGAACTTGCTCATTCAGCAGGCTTTTCTGCCCCACCCCGAGCTCTGGTTCTGACCTGGATTAAAAATAAAAGTGCAGCCCCGATGCTCCACCCCACAAACCACAAAACCAAGGCCTGCTCCAGTAACGTAATCACCAAGACTTCTGGCACCTCTGGCTTTCAAGAAAAATACATCCATCTGCCGGCCCACGGGCCCCTCCAGGGGAATCTTGTTCCGAATGGAGCTCCTGATTCCTCAGGGCTGGAAAGTCTACAGGGATGCTGGCTGTTCCCAGGGGAGGATGACTCCCTGCAGTGTGGGCTCTAAACCCCAGCGCTGGTTTTTTACTTAAAGCAACTTCTCCCAACTCCAGAGGCGCCTTCTAATTCTCCTTAAGGTGAGAGGACTGCAGAACAACGAACGTTCAAGGAAGAGCTCTGCCTGCTCAGGAGAAACACTCCTCCCACTAGTGAGGACGAACCAAAGCCAGGGACCTGGCTCTATGGGAAAAGCTGCTCGTGGAGCCGTGGGGATGGGGTGGGGGGAGATCCTAGGAGCCCAGATCTAGGGCTGGAAGGGACCTCCCCGGCCTTCTGGGACACCTTCTAAGCGGTGTGCCTGGCACCGAACACAGCCCTAGTCTGAGAGTCCAATCTGTTTGACCTAGTCAAAAAATGAACCATAAGGAGAGGTCACATGGTATAGTGGAAAGAACACTAACTTTGGAGGCAGGGGACCTGAGTTCAAATCCTGCCTCCAACACTTTATTACCTGAGTGGCCTCTGTGGCCCTCAGGCTTCTCATCTGCAGAGTAAGGGGACTAATAGGGCTCCAAGGACTCTATTACAAGGTAGAATGTGATAAGTATCCAAAAGGGGGCAAAGGACTCCGGGAGTTCAGATGGGGATGGGGACGATCACCTTGGGTTTAGCACAAGAGTTCTAAACGTGGGCTTTGAGGACCTCCAAGGGGTTCAGCAAGTCTATGAATATCTTTATTCTAACTTTTGGTTTTCCTCAGTGACCCTACTTCTTTTCTTGAGGCATGATTCTGAGGAAGGTCTGTAGGCATGAGCAGGCAGCCAAAGAGGTCTAAAGTGCAGATGAGGGCCAGGGGCCTTCAGCCACAGGGCAGAGCAGCTGACAGATGTCTGATGTGCCTCTGGGATAACAGCGGTGAAGGGAACCTCTCTGGTAGATGCTGACCAGGATCCCGGAGCAGAAGCGGCAGAAACCTTGGGAGAGGGGAGTGCTCCTGACAGAGGAGATGAAACCCGAATGGGGTCTGACATGCCACCCAGGAATGGGGAGGGTAGAAAGCAGAGGAGTCAGAAGTAGAAGCCCAGCAGGCCTGCAAGCTCACAAGAAAGACTGAGATAAATTAGGGGAGCAAGGAATAGTTTACCTGTCACATCTATGGAGAAGGGGAGAATTTAGGACCTCACAAGAGATAGAGAGTATTATGAGATATAAAATAAAATATATATAAAATACAAAAACTGTGATTATATCAAATTTAAAAAGTTTTGCACAAACAGAACCAATGCAATGAAGATTAGAAGGGAAGCAGAAAACTAAAGTACAATCTTTACAGCCAGTGTCTTTGATAAAGGCCTCATTTCTAAAATATGTAGAGAACTGAGTCAAATTTATAAGAATACAAGTCATTCCCCAACTGTTAAATGGTCAAAGGATATGAACAGGCAGTTTTCAGGTGAAGAAATTAAACCTAGCTATAGTCACATGAAAAAATGCTCTAAATCACTACTGATTAGAGAAATGCAAATTAAAACAACTCTGGGGTACTACCTCAGACTGGCTGATATGGCAGTAAAGGAAAATAATAAATGTTAGAAGGGATGTGGGAAAACTGGGACACCCGTACACTGTTGGTGAAGTTGTGAACTGATTCAACCATTCTGGAGAGCAATTTGGAACTATGCCCAAAGGGCTATAAAAATGTGCATACCCTTTAATCCAGCAATACCACTACTAGGTTTATATACCAAAAAGATCATAAAAAAGGAGAAAAGGACCTACATGTGCAAAAATATTTATAGCAGCTCTTTTTGTGGTGGCAAAGAACTAGAAATTGAAGGGATGCTCATCAGCTGGGGAATGGCTAAACAAACTGTGGTATACGAATGTAATGGAATACTACTGTACAATGAGAAATGACGAGCAGACGAATTTCAGAAAAACCTGGAAAGACATATATGAACTGATGCTGAGTGAAGTAAACAGAATTAGGAGAACGTTGTACATAGTAACAGCAACACTGTATGATGACCAATTTTGATAGACTTAGCCCTTCTCAGCAACACAGTGATCCAAGCCAATTACAAAAGACTCATGCTGTCCACATCCAGAGAAAAAAGTGATGGACTCTGAATGCAGATAGAAGCATACTATTTTCACTTTCTTAATTTTTTTCATGGGTTTTTTTTCTTTTAGTCTGTTTCTTCTTTCACAACATGACTAATATGATAATATGTTTCCCATGATTGCACACATACAACCTATATCAAATTGCTTACCATTTTAGAAAGAGGGAAGGGGAGGAAGGGATGGAGAAAAATGTGGAACTCAAAATTTTGTAAAAACGAATGTTAGGCATGACTATTACGGAAATATTTGCATGACTACACATGTATGACCTATATCGAATTGTGTGCTTTCTCAATGCGGGGGGTGAGTAGGGAGGGAGGAAGGGAGAGAACGTGCAACTCAAAATTTTAAGAATGAATGTTAAAAATTAGTTTTGCAAGCAACTGGAGAAAAATAAAATACTAAATTTAAAAAAACAACAAATGTTAGGGACAGCTAGGTGGCACAGCAGATAGAGAACCAGCCCTGGAGTCAGGAGAACCTGAGTTCAAATCCAGCCTCAGGTACCTACTAGCTGTGTGAACCTGAGCTAGTCACTTAACCTTGGATTGCCTCCCTCCCCCCCAAATAAAAAAAAAATTTTAAGTATGTTAAACATTGTCTTCACATATAATTGGGAAAAATAAAATACTATTTAAAAAAAAAGAAAAGAAACCCTAAGAATCAAAAATGGAACTGTTCTACATCTTTAGAAGGGCTAATCAATTCAATGAGAGCTATTAAGGACAATCTTACATTTTAAAAGATGGAATTACAATCAATAAAGGAAACAAAAAAAAAAGATTGTGATACAAATACGAAAAACCTTCTCACAGGGAACACACTGGGGTGTGTCTAAAGGCACACAGAGAAATATCATGGGAAGTTCAATGACCAATTCAGATTTTAAAAAGAAAAGACAGGCCCACTCACTGAACCCCAGGCAAGTTCTGAACATAAAAGGGTGGTGGGTCAGCAGGACTGAGCAGTGGAATGGGCAGAGGCTGGCAGGTGCCTCTGAGAATGTATTCTTAAAGGGAGGGCGGCGTGTCAGCTCTTAGAAGTGAAAGCCACGAGCACTCCCAGTCCCAGGCAGCTGCACAAAGACGGAGCACGTATTTCAGCACAGCTGGGGAGATCAGAACCTGCCCACACTGGCCAACAGGTGAGTCTCTCCATGGAACGCCGGGGGTCTGCGCTCCGCCCTGCGCTCTTCACCACTTTTATTAACGACTTGGATGATGCACGGGCAGCGTGCTGATCGGGTCTGCACGTGAAATCAGCTGGAAGGGGAGGGAACACGGAGACGCGAGTCGGGATCCAAAGAAACCCCACAGCCCGCAGGGACGACTTCAGCCTAAGAAGGCAGAACTCGAGGGCTGGCGCTTCCTCCTTCCTCATCTCACCCCCCTCTGATGTCATCCCTCACTACTTTCTCCTCCTCCACAGTCTCTGGGGAAAAGCTGGTCTTTCCTGCCCAGGGCAATCCCTTCACGTGAATTTTTGAGCCCATCCCCTCCAGTCTCCTCCATCAATCACTCCACGCCCCTCCCCCTCCAATCTTCAATCTCTTCCTATCTACTGGCTCCTTCCCCTTACGCTTACAAACACATCCATGTCTCCTTCATCTTTAAGAAAATTCCAACTTGAACCTACTGGCCTCATTACTTAATCACCTATGTCTCTTCTCCCCTTCTCAGCTAAACTGCTTGAAAAAAGCCTTCTGGGGAATGTGATGGTGCACGTCTGTAGCCCCTGCGACTGGGAAGGCAGAGTGCCTGAGCCCTGAGCTGCCGTGGGCTATGTACAGCAGGTGTCTGAACTAAGTCTGGTACCATCACTACGGTGAGCCCTTGGGAATGGGGGGTATTGGGAGGTGGTGGGGAGGAGCCAGGAGGCTGCTTAAGGAGGGGTGAATGGACCCAGAGCAGGTCAAAGCTTCTATGCCAATCATTAATGGGATCGGGCCCTGCACTTCTAGCCTGGGCAAGATGGAAAGACCCGGTCTGAAAAAAGAAAGAAAGAAAAAGAAAAAGAACTTTCTAGATCTGGTCCTTCCACCTCCTTTCCTCTCCCTCTATTTTAAAACCCTCCACAATCTGGCTCCTAACCTCACCTTTCAGCTCAACCTGCTTTCTCCACAGGAAGTCTCCCCACATTAGCTGTCTGCTCCCAAGAGCACACAGCTCTTTGAGAACAGGAATCATGCTGCTTGCTAGAATTTTTATCCTCAGAACTTGGCCCAGTGTCCAACATGCACAGAAAGTGCTTAGTAACTGCTTTTTCATTTGTTCATTCCAATCTCCAGGACTTTTCTCTGTCCGCATGCTTCTTGACCTCTGATCAAGCCTTTGATATTGGTGATCCCCTCTGCTTCCTGGACATCTCCTCTTCCCCAGGGTTTACTGGCCTTGCCCTCTCTTGATTCTCCTCCCTGCCAGACCACTCCTTCTCAGTCTTCTTTGCTGGGTCTTTGTCCAGGCCATGCCTGATAATCGTGGGTGTCCCCCAAACCCCTCACGCCTTTCCCTTTATGCTCCCTCACTGGGTGATCTCAGCAGCTCTCCCAAGTTCAATGATCATGTCTATGCTGATGATTCCCACATCTCTAACTCCAGCCCAAGTCTCTCTCCTGAGCTCCCATCTGGTGTCACCAGCTCCCTAGTAGACATTTCAAAATGGCTATCCTAAGAGACATCTCAAATTCATCATGTATGACACTGAACTCATCTTTCCCCCCAGAGGCATCCCTGCTGAGGGCGCTGCGACCTTCCCAATGACCCTGGCTCACAACCCGGGCGTCCTCCTTGCATCATCTTCTCTCAGTCATCCCACATGGGCCAAGTCTTGTCATTACTATCTTCACAGCATCTGTTGTTATCCACCTGCCACCCCCTTCCCTCTACTCCCATGCTCAGGCCCTCCCTAGCAATCTCTTAGACCACTGCAATAGCCTTCTGATTAGTCTCCACTCCAATTTACCCTCCACTACCCTCTGCAATAAAAATGAGTATGTGAAGCATATGTGTGACCATGTCAGGTCTTTCCTTCTTCCCACCCCACAGAAAGCCCTTTGGGAAGGACAGTTACTCTAACCCTTAACCTCCTTAAAGAAGATGAAGAGGCTGCCTGAGCCCAGCCAACAATTTCATCTCTCTGCATGAGGAATTCTGGCTGGACTGGGTATGGATTGAGCACATTCTTCTCTGGGAATGCTGTAAGACCAAGGCTTGAATTCTTTTCCTGGATAAATCAGCATCTAAGAAAAGCTAGGTCATGCTGAAGAGCTGAGCCATCAAAATTAAGGCTGGAATGTGCTACCTTCTTCGATTAAGCAGACACAGAATCCATCCCAAAGAGGCCAAGGAATCGCCAGACCATCTTGATAAATGTGCTCAATTTAAAGCTCTGCTTTCTCCCCATTCAAGCTGGCCTAACTGTTATCAGCCTCGCTAAGTGAAGTTCCCAGCGCCATCTCTGGGCTACTGATGTGCTCTCTGGCCAGGCGGCTTGCTGGGAGGCCCCTGCCTCTTCCTGTGGCTGGGAGCCCGGCAGCACCCACAAGCATGCCCCCCGCCGACAGTCAGGAAACTCAGCACCCTGCTGTCCCTGCCAGGATTCAATCTGGACATTTAAACCAAGTCCCAAGAAGCTCTCAGAGAGGGTAGCCAGGGCATGGGATCCACTCTAGCTCTCAACACAGTGACTTCCTGGCCTCAAATTTGCATTCCAGAAACTGCAAAACAATCACTCACTGCTTAAACAAGTCAGTCTTGAGGTTTTAAGTACACTCTGGGGAGAGTTAGCACTGAGCCAAAATGACCAAGACTGGAAAAGGGGAGTGTGTAAAGGGAATGAACAGATTCTCCATTTACTTCTAAGACTGCCCTTACATTAATTACATTAATTAACGTACATGGTTGTGGATGAATCTTGAAAGAATAACAAGTGAGCCTAAAGATAATTTAAGTAGCTGCCTACATCACTATAGACAGAGCTGTAGATAGACGTAGATACCGATACAGACAGACACCCAGAAACAGACACAGACATTGATAGAGATGTAGATAGACAGACACAGATAGAGATATAGACAGATAGATACATAGAAACAGACACAGACATCAACAGAGACAGAGCTGTAGATACACAGATAGACACAGACATAGATAGATACATAGAAACAGACACAGACATCGACAGAGACAGAGATGTAGATACACAGATAGACATAGATACAGATAGACAGACAGACAGACAGATCATAGATAGATAGATATGTACAAACAGACACAAACATCGACAGTATGTTTGACAGATGCTGCTACATCTCTACTTTTTCAGTTAAGTGTATTGCAGACAGGTTATTCCCTGAAATCAGCAGCTTTGCCAGCAAGTCCAACCTAATGTCTCAGGGGCACTGGGGTGGGCTGGGGCTCAAGATGCTGCTGTGGACATAGGTACACCCAGTGCTGATGAACAACCAACTTTTCAAAGCTCTGGAGAATTCTGCCACATGAATCCGACTCCCTCCTGTGTAGCACCTGCAGATGTCCTATGTGGTGGCGGCAGCAGCAGAGCATGGGAGTTGGCTGTTCATAAGGAGAGGCGGCTTCTCCAGCCTTTGCTCTGCTCCTTCATTCTGAGGTCCTCTCTGAGGCACCCTGGATTCTATTCCGAGGTGGCTCTACCTCCATAGTTACTCAAGATTATAGCTCAAGTTCCAAGGGAAAGCAAGTTTTGCAGACATTCCTCCCAACCTGGAAGCCTCTAAACAGGCCCACAGCTTGCAGAGTTGCACACTCACTGCTCAAAGCAGAGGAGCAGTGGATAGAGCGCCGGCCCTGAAGTCAGGAGGACCTGGGTTCAAATCCAGCCTCAGACCAAACACTTCATACTTATAGTTATGTGACCTTGGGCACGTCACTTAACCCCAATTACCTTTAAAAAAAAAAGCAGAGGGGCTACCCTTTTGCATCTTAGATGCCTTTGGCTGATTGGTGGAACCTATGGACTCCTCAGAACGTTTTTAAATGCATAAAATAAGATACACAGGATTAGAAAGTAAACCAATTACACTGAAATAGTTAACAAAACAAAATATTTTGTAGGTCTCAGATTAAAAATCCTTGGCTTACGGGGCAGCTACGTTGTGCAGTAGATAAAGCTCTGGCCTTGGAGTCGGGAGCACCTGAGTTCAAATCTGGCCTCAGACTATGTGACCTTAGGTAAGTCATCTAGCCCCACTGCCTCACCAAAAAAAAAAAAATCTTTGGTTTAGAAGAAGAAATGCCTTAGGAGGTTCTATGGTAATAAAGCTCTGGGTTCTAGACTAGAGATATGGTCAGCCTTTTAGCAGGAAATCCCTTCTGACTGGGGAAAAGAAAAGTGCTTTGAATGTTGCTGGGTGATCTCCAGGGAGAAGGCAGCCCAACCTGGCCTATGCCTCTCACCTCACTGTGGCTGGTCAAGTTAACATGTTCTGCTGGACTGTAAGTTCCTAGAGGGCAGGGGGCATGTCTTATCCAGTGCTCTTGCCAAGAATAGAGAAGGGAAGAAAGAGAAGGAAGAGAGGGAGGGAAGGAGGGAGGGAGGGAGAAAGGAAGGAAGGAAGAAAAGAAGGAAGGAAAGAAGGAAGGAGAAAAAGAAGGAAGGATATAAGAAAGGAGAAAAGGAAGGAAGGAAAGGTAGAGGGAAGGAAGAGAAGGAAGAAGAAAGAAGGAAGAAGGAAAAGAAGGAAGGAAAGGCAGAAGGGAGGGAGGGAGAGGGAAGAAAAGAAAGAAGAAAAGAAGGAAGAAGGAAAGATATAAGGAAGGAAGGAAAAAGGAAAAGAATGATGGAAGGAAACAGAAGGAAGGAAGAAAGGAAGGAAAGAGGAAAAGAAGAAAGGAAGGAAGAAAGGAGGAAAAGAAGGAAGGAAAGATATAAGGGAGGAAGGAAGAAAAGAAGGAAGGAAGGAAGGAGGAAGAAAGGAAGGAAGAAAAGCTGCAATTTCAGCCCCTCTGCACAAGATATTCTAACCAGACCAGACATGCACTTAGGGTGTTTTTCTCTGTGAATGCTCTATTCACAGAAGCTGAATTATTTTCCTAGATAAATCACCACTTAACAAAGACTGGATCACCCTGAAGATGAAGACACAAATGCTACCTTCTGGCATTTTAGGGATGGGGCCAAGGAAGAGGTGATGCTCAGGACAAAGATTTAGCAGAGAAAAGAAAAACTGTTTACAGATCTGATTCTCATACACAGGACTTAAACATATTACATGCTTAGTAGAAATGTCATTTGCAAGCCAATTTTTGGCTCCAGACAATACATAAATCCTTTAAATATTTTAAAAACAAACTAAACCTTACTGTATTTCCCATGCCGTTGTCTCTTCTCTGAGTTAAGGGGTAAAGGACAAATCTAGCATGAGGAAGCAGAGGTGAGATGGAAAGACAGGCAAGGGAACCCGTTTCTAAGGGTAGAAAGGGGGGCCTCAGGCTGGTTAGTTAATAACTGCTCATTAGAACCCTAGTTGCTCAGAAGTTGTTGAGTATTCTAGACCGGCTGAAAACCTGCCCATAACATTAATTTGGTAATTCATGATGGGCAGCTATGATAACCTTCTACTGCTTTCGAATGTGAGCCCTTGCCTGGGGCCTGGGCTTTAATCTCATCATGATCTAGAATTCTTCTTAATCCGGAAGACCCAAGGACCAAGTAACTTCCCCTCCCAAGGTCTCTGTTTCCTCCATTCAAATGAAGTGACAGAGAGAAGATCTCACATGTGCACAGGCCTATGTCCTGAAACCCTGCAGCAGGAAGTGGGAGGTGGCCACCAGAGATGTCTGATTCTGGAGGCTAGCTAGCCATGCTGGGGCATTGTCATCTGAGGACCCAGGTTCAGAAAGCAGGGCCCAATGCTGTTCTAAGGACATTGAGATCTGTGACTTCATCTGATTTTCCTTCACAAAGTGACTATTGGCCCTACCTGTTCTTTTCCAGATAACCCAGAGCTCAGTCTAGCAGATATGGGTTTCCAGCGGCCCAGGAGATCTCTTCACTCTCCTCCTAAGACTGTGCTTGATGACCCTAGGAAGACTTGAAAAGAGCCTTCAATCGGCTGTGTCCATCTAGAAATGCTTAGGAAAGGCAACAGCCGCTGACTTTAATGGCTTTTCTAGGTGCCTCAGCATCCATGTTGCCAGAGAGCAGGCCCAGAACACCCCAAAACGTCTCCTGGGATTACACAGGGAGCAGACCAGTGAAACCCCGGAGTGTAACCCAAGAGAAGCCTAGGTCAGCAGCATGATTAAATTAGAAGCCGCCTGGATAGCTCACAATGCTGCCCAACATCACTCAAGCACTGGACAAAGTGTGGCACATCAATTGGCAGCCCTGGCCAAGAGGTCACCTTTAATATGATTAGCTGTGGAAATGGGAAGAGCAGATCGTCCCCCAAATACAGCGGGCAAAGGCTCCATTATGTGGCCTAGAGCTGTCATGGCTTCCAGCCTCTGACGGAATGGGAACCCAGTGAGAATGGCTGGCCCGCCGGGAAGGAACATGATCAAGGTCCATTGAAAATCAGACACAAACACGCATTCAGGCTTCCGCGTGATTTACTGCGACGCCATTGTTCAGGGCTGTGCCTCTGGCCAGCAGGGGTGGTCTCCAGGGCGCTTCTCAGGATGGCTGGGTCACACCACAAGTGCTCCTTCTCCTCCTGCCTCATTCACTAGCTGTGGTTTTTCCCTTTGAAGTCACAGAAAGCGGCCTCATCTATCACTGACAGGAACTCTTTCAAAAAGGCTGGGAGTGAATTCGCTCCTTTACAAACTGGGAAGGCTCGGCCTCGAGGAGGGAGGGGACTGGAAGAAGACTAATGACAGCCCAGCGCTGCCAAAGGATGCTTTCGTCCAGCTCTGTGCCAGTATTGGACGGCCTTGTTCTGCCCGCCCAGCTCAGTGCGGGGTAAAGCGCAGTCTTTGGGGGTGTGTCAATTGCCATTCCCAGATACCGC